GAAACAAACGAACGTTGCTGTGTGCTCTCTCTCTCTCTCTCTCTCGTTTGTTATGTGTGTGCGAACATTCTTTGGCGAATATTCGTTTTGGTAAAGAATTAATCGCCATAAATTCATTCGTAAAACGAGCACAAAACGAAAAGAATGAATTTTGTATCATTCGCGAGCGAATGATGTGAAAATATTTCACTCTTTTAATAATACGATGGATCAACTAAAATTTGTATCCGATCTGTTTAAGGAATCGTAGTTGGGACGCACAGTCATTCCCCTCATACGAATATAAATTAAGTCTGATTAAACTGTCCAGCTTTACAATGCCAAATGCCCAGAGGGGAACAGTGCGGGCAGAGCAAATTGATAGCTACACGTTCCGCACGTTAAATGAGGATGCCCCCACCAGAATAAGGGGAGAGTGTCACACCATAGGAAAGCCAACTGGCAAGGATTCAGAGAGTTCACCAACCAGCGCTTCAGAGAACTTTCCATTCCTTCTGATGTACGGGTAGCAGAAAGGAAATTCCCAGGCAGCTGCAGCTTCTAGATTTATACCTGCTGGTCGAATACCCAGCAGAAGCAGTTGGTCTGGCAAACGAGCGTGATGAGCTCCGTCGATTTAACCCAGCATATCCCAGGGTCAGGGAACTTACGTTGGAGGTCAGCAGATTAGTCACGGAGCATAAGCGGAATAAATGGTTGGAACACCTTAAGAGTTGCTACATTGGTACCGGAGTAAGTAAACTGTGGACAACGGTTAAGTCGCTCTCGAACCCTGGTAAGAAAGATGACAGGACCTCAGTCACATTTATCGACGAAACTGTGACTGATTCGAAGAGATGCGCAAGTCATTTTAACCGACAGTTTGTCGAGTATCCCGAAAGCGACAGGGCGAAGAGAAGAGTACTTCGTCGTATAAGATCTCTTCCAGGCGAGGAGGTACCACCACAGTTTACGTTGGGTGATGTTGCATGTGTCATCCGTAACGCGAAGTCATCTAAAGCGTTGGGCGCTGATGGAATATCTATGTGTATGCTGAAGCAGCTGGACGAGCCAGAAGTCCAGTATTTGACTAACGTCCTCAACTTGTCAATAGCCACCCTCGTCGTCCCCGAAGCCTGGACTATGGGCAGAGTAGTCCAGCTACTGAGGGCAAGAATGCCAGCAAAGGTGAATCTTACAGGCCAATTTCACTTTTGTCGCCAGTAGCGAAGATCCTTGAGGCTTTACTCCTCCCCAGCATTAGAGAAAGCTATCCAGTTGTCGATCATCAACATGGATTCCGTAAGCAACACGGTACAACATATAAGTAGGGGACATAACCAGAACCGGCCGTGCGATAAAACAGTGTTGGTAGCGATTGATAAGGATGCCAGCAAAGGTGAGTCTTACAGGCCAATTTCACTTCCCTCCGGCCGAGTTTGAAACTTTGCATAATCAACTATCAACGTGTGGACGCCAGTCGTACTTGGAGTTCAGGAACAAGAAGTCCAAACCCCGCAGAGTTAAACAGGGAGTTTCCCAGGGTGGAGTGATTTCTCCGGAACTGCTTAACCTCTACCTTTCCGGTATTCCACGCCCTCATGACGGCATAAAAATCGTTACATATGCAGATTATTGTACGAACATGGCGTCGGGTCCCATTGTTGAGGACATATGTGTGAGGTTGAACGCCTATCTCGTCGATTTAGCAGCCTTCTTCAAAGCGAGGAATAAGAAAATATCCCCCTCGAAGTCGTCAGCCACACTATTCACCACATGGACTGCGGAGATGAGAATGCCGTTGAATGTGCAGGTCGATGGGCATACAATCCCGACCACCAACTACCCCAAAATGCTCGGGGTCACATTCGACAGTATGTTCAAATCGTCCGCGCAAACCACAGCTATCTGCGATAAGTTAAAAAGTAGGAACAAGGTTCTCAAGTCGCTTGCCGGCAGCATTGGGGCGCAAATAAGGAAACCTTGTTGACCTCTTACAAAGCGATAAGTCGGTATGTGGCTAGCATTCGTAAGAAAGAGCGTATTTTAATCATTCTTCGCACCCTGTTGCTTACATTAATACATTAGAATGACATATTACATTTGGTAAATCATTTATAAATAAAGTGAACAGTACTGGACCAAGATAACTCACCTGCGAAACACCAGATGATATGGAATTTTTGTAGAAATAGTGCTTTGAAACTTTACCATTTGTACTCTGTCCACTTCAATAAAGAAGGACAGAAACCAATTCTATTCAATTTCAGTATCAATAGCTTTAAATTAACGTTATCAAATGCTTTGTCGAAGTCGGTACATATGCAATCCGTCTGATGTTTTCTATTATACGTTCTCTCTTCGATACTGTAGTACGTAAGGTATTGCTCCATAAAGTTAATCTTATAGGGTTCCTGTCAATTTTTTAAGCTGGATTTCATCCTATTTAGGAGACTGTACCAAAAAGTTTATGTTCAGTGATTCCTTTTCCAAAGATATTATTGTTTCCTAATGGAGTTCCGCAAGAAAGTCATCTCGGTCCGTTACTGTTTGTTCTTTATCTGCATGATCTTCCGAATTCCATTCGTTTTTCCCAAATATTTTCCCATAATTATTTGTTTGTATTGTCCGCCCAGTCCTAGAATATGGTTGCATTCTTTGAAGCCCATTTTATAATTGTTACTCTGATAAAATTGACTCAGTTCAAGTTCACTTTTTAATTTTTGCCTTGCGTGGCCTAAATTGGAACCCATCTGAATTACTTTCACCTTATAAAAGTCGCTTAGTGGAAATTATTCTTCCAACACTAGAAAGAAGACGTTTTATGTTAAGAGCATTATTTTCTTACGGGAGAAATAATTTATGTTCTTTCTCGAGGAACACGTAATTTTTGAACCATTGAAATTGTCGAACGCGAGAACTAATTATGAACTAAAAAAAAACAATGAGTAATATATAAGTATGCCTAAGTAGTCCATTGCATGCTATAAAGAATTCTATACTGGGCTTGGAAACAGTAGAACCTGGCATTTGAGCAGCATTTGTCAAATTTTATGTTATAGCTTCTGTTTGCTGTTGTTTGTGTAATTAACTTAGTTTACAGTATTGTTATCGATCTAATTCTAATTTATATTTGTTGTATAATTACAAATTGCCGCCTGGTGACCTATCTGTTGTAGCCGGTATTGTAAAACCACTACTAACCCGCCTTACTCCGGCCTTTGGTGTGTACGTGCTCCCTGCGAATAGGGAGGTAAACCCTCGGTCGGCAGGGGCTGGAGTGAGAGGCATGGGAACGAACATATAATCAGTAGGTTACTAAAGTAGTTAGTTCCAAACGTTTTGTTATAGTAGAACGACAAATTTGGGAAATTGAAATTTTTTTAAGAATATTTTGAAGGGATTTCAATATTTTTCAAGGGCTACAATAAGCTAGGATTTTTTAATACAATACAAGTTCTCTATGGGAAAAACCTATATTTACCCGAGTATCGATATGGCCTAATGTTCATTACTTAATATTAATTTATTGAAACTATTTAGAATACTTATTATGAATTAAGTGTCGAACTGCGATAAGATTGAGATTTTATAAATTGCAATTTAGTCGATCATCGGCGGTCTTCGGGTACACGCGATTTTCTTTGTATAATCAAAAAAAAAATAGAATAAACGGATTATTAAATAGACAGGTGAGAACGTCGATAAGTTCGGTCGAACCGAACTGCATTCAAAATTCGGGACATTGTTATGGTGTTAAATTATAGTAGATTGTTCACGCTCTGAAAAAATAGTGTTCCAAATTAAATAAATTTTTTTATTCAAAAGGAATCCGATATTTAAATTTATTAAATTTACCGAACACAGTCGGTCTCTGAACGACTTTGCTCAATGAACGCCGTCGGTAACTGAACGACATTGTATTATCTTCTACACCTTGAGTGTTGTTCACAGGTCCAATGACTTTGACCAAATGAACGGCGTCAAATAACAACAATTTCATAAAAAATCTGATAAATTGAATGAAGGTACGTGTAATATATTGTTGTCCCATTTCATGGAATGCGGTGCTTAAAAGATCAAATGCTGCAGTAGTGTTTTAATTATCGCTGGAGGGTCAGTAAATAATATGAAGTGACATTTAAAACCAAAGCACTCTCATAGACAACCGTGGAGCTGGACTGCAGGGCAAACAAGTGTGCTGCCGAATAAAACGGAGTTATGCCATCGACCACCAACCATTAACAGAGTGGAGAAAATATATAGGAAAGTCCTTCGAATGATTGTGAAAGTAGTCATTCATTACGGTTGGTTGAACTGCCAGAACTTAATTGAACGATATAAGCAACTGAACCTGTTGAACGACCTATTTCACTTTTAAAAAAATGATCTAGTTCGTTCGATCACTTAACTGAACGAGATTGCCCAAGACTAGAACGAATGGCGGGATTCTATAAAAATGCCGCACAAATTTCTATATAAGTCAGCCTTCCAGTACACTAACAAATTACTGCTCCATCGATTGGAAATTTCGTCTAAAGCCTTAAATACTAATAATTTTTGGTAGCTAGAATTTCTACTCAATGAGAATTCAAAATATAAAATTACAGCTAATAATATGGGGGCTTCCATAGTAGGAAGATTTACTATCATACCACAATTCAAAGGAGAACAAACTAAGGATTTTTAAAGAATGTTATTGAGGGAGATTTTGTAGATCGTAGATTTTTTCAACAATATTTTTCCAGAGGACCGCGTCCAAACCGCCCAATAAATAACCCAGCTTCTCACGTATCATTATTATATTTTTCTTTTAGGAAAACTAACAAAAATTGAATGGAAACAATAAAACTGTGCGATAAGGAAATAAATATCAAGCAGCTGACTAAAATAATTTCTGCAATAGCCGTATATCAATTCAGTTGGGCGCCGTATTCCACTGTAAACGGAACTTTTTTTTCCAAAAATTAAAAATAAATTAAGAAGAGCGAGAGATTTCTAAAAACTCAAAAAACAACAAAATGTGGCTAATCATTTTGTTGTTGTGTGTGATTTTATTACTTTGCCTCTACAAACTTAATGACAAATATTTTCTATTGTGTCTGTGTAAACGTATTCAGACTGTGGATGCCAGTAAACTAGAGGACAAAGTCTGCATAATTCCGGGTAAGCTGCCGATGTTTGCAAATAATTTGGATCTATTGAATTTGACACCAGGTAAGAATCGAGAATTGAATTTTCAATATTTTGGTTCCGAATCTGAAATTCTGCATATAATGTATGTTCTTTCTACAAAACAATTTCTAGAAACAATTTTCTTATATGGTAGACGGCTCAACCGCATATCCCAGGGTAGGAGTTTTATTTTGTATTTCCTATTTACCCCTGTTTACAATATCAACAATGCCGAAGATGCTGCGGAATTTTTTCAGAACACCACAATATTAGAGAAATCAGTCTATTATAAATATTTAAAACCTTTCTTGGGTGACGGTTTACTAATTAGTTCGGGTAAGTGGCCAAAAATATTAACATTTGATCTCTTCTGTGGTTGTTATCAATATTTGTTCGTTGTAGATCGTAAATGGTTCAATAGGCGAAAACTTTTGACACCGGCTTTCCATTTTAATGTGTTGGAAAAATTCAATGATATTTTCAAGTAAGTAAATGTTTTAAAAATTTTCTTTACAAATATTCCTTAGAATAATATTCTTTAAATAACCCATGCCCCTAGCAGGTCTTAAAAAATATTCTTTAAAGAAACCAAACCTGTAGCAGCACTTAAAATACTTAATTCGGCAACGTATCGTTATAGTAGGACGACAAATTTGAGAAAATTGAAAATTTTGTAAGAATATTTTGAAGGATTTCAATATTTTTCAAGGGCTACAATAGGCGTGGATTTTTTTAATACAAAAACATAAAAAAAGCTAGGTGATCGCATTCAGGTAACACCGCCATCTCTTCAACCAGCTTCAGATTTTGGCACCTTCACCTTTATCTGTCGGTTTCAACATCCAGACTGAATCATTGACAATTATTTTCTTCAGATTCTCGATCCCACAATTTCCACATGGCTTCTCCACATCTTTACCCTCTTGCTTCATCTTCAAGGTCGTCAGTTTTGTCTACAGGATCCAACATCCCGGCCTCATTTCTAGGATTTATATTGGCAATCTTCATGGCCGGAAGGCTGTATCATCGGCAAACTTTCTCATTTTGTCTGATCAACTTCTTTGGTATTCTTATTGGCAACAAAATCTTCCTTTGATTGGTCATAAGTGTTTTCGACAGGCTCCAACTTCCCAGCCGCATGTGTAGGATTTTTAACCACAATCTTCGTGACCGGAAGGACTCCTTTGGTTTGCTTTTATTAACAACAAAATCTTCCTTCGATTGGTTATCAGTTTTGTCGACAGGCTCCAACATCCCGGGCCGAATTTCCACGATTTTTTGTCGGAATACCCATAATTAACGACCTCTGCTTACCGACCCGATAAACCTTTGTTGTCGCTTCATTCCCCGACTTCATCTTCCTTCCCGCAAAACAAGTGTCAACTGACGACTCACACTTCTCAGTATTGGCATTGGCATCTGGCCAAATTATCGCGTTCGGCGTCTGCTCATCGACGAGTTCTTTCAAAAGTTTTCATTCCTCCTTTTCCCATGATTTTCCTCTACTGATCGACGGGTCATCTTCGAAAGAGCCAGTTTTTTCAAAAGTTTACCTTTCCTCCTTTTCCCATGATTTTCCAGCTATCTGGAGTTTCTGTGCAGTCGCAACAATTTTCCCGCTCCGTATTGGCATTGGCTACCATTAGTCTGGCCAACTTATCGCATTCGGCCTCTGCTCGTCGACAGGTCTTCTTCGAAAGAGCCAGTTCTTTCAAAAGATTCTTTTCCTCCTTTTTCCCATGACTTTCCTGCTGACTGGACTTTCTGTGTAGTCGCATCCAATTTCCCGATTCTTATTTGCGTTCGGACTCTGCAGATCGATGGGCTTTCTTCGAAAGAGCCAGTTCTTTTAAAAGTTTTCTATCCTATTTCTTACCTGATTTCCCTGCTGCCTGGGCCTACTGTGCAGTTGCAACTAATTCATTTTTAGGTTCGCGAACTTGCTTTTCTAAGACCGGGCATTTGTCTTTAGCCTCTTCATCCTTTGCTTGCAACCTTTTTTAAAGGCAACCATTAGAGTCTTCCGTTGTTCTCATCTTCTAGCTTCATATTTCTTGCACATAACTCCGCCACGTCCAAGCTTCCCTGTCCTAAGCTTTCGTCGCTTCCCCCTCCTCCTCCAATGCCGACTAAAGGTTGGCAATTTGCACATGGGCTGGCCTGAACGCTCCGCCATTTTGGATCGTCTTTCATTTCATCGGGTGTGCCCCACACTAGATCTCCTACACAGTCATATGCTCTCTCTATCTCATGCATATTCCCAGTGGTAAACAAACTGTCGATAATCTCTACGAATCTGTCGACATATTGTCGGTGCCGAGCTTTTGAACGACTCGTCTTCTGCGGAGTAATATCCCATGACCTAACCCCTTCGTTCTGTAGCTTCTGTAATCAGAACTCGCCAAAATGTCTGGCCGTTACACCCTTCTTCCATGCCACAGCCTTCTACTGACTAGGCATTTTATTTTTCGAATTTGATCTGTCTGAATTTTTCACCAAACTGATAGAATTTCCTCCACTTCTAACTCCATATTTCTTGCACGTATCTCCTTCACATCAATGCCGACTGAAGCTTCTCAATTTGCACTTGGGCTTGCCTAAACCCTCTTGCCATTTTGGATTTCATCTCCAATAGCTCCAGCCGAATCGTTTTCCATTTCATCGGGTGCGCCCCACACTAGATATCCTGCATAGTCATATACGCTCTCTATCTTCTGAATATTCACAATCGTAAAAAGGCTATCGTATATCTCTAAGAATCTGTCTATACGTGCTAGTAGAGTCTTTATGTCTTCGTTCCTCCTCCAAAGCCGACTGAAGCTAAGCAATTTGCACCTGGGCTGCACTAAACCTTCCTGCCATTTTGATTTCTTCTCCAATAGCTCCATCCGACGGAACGTCTTTCATTTCATCAGATGCGCCCCTCACTACGTCGATATTAGCTACTAGAGTCTTTATGTGTACGGTCGGTGCCGAGCTTTTGTACGACTCGTCTTCACCGGAATAATATCCTAAAGTCTCAACCTTCGTTCTGTAGCTTCTGTAATCAGAACTGCCCCTCGCCAAAATGTCTCGCCGATACAGCTTCCTTCTGACTCAGCATTATATTTTTCAATTTTCTTCCGTCTGAATGTTCTACCAAGCTTATAGAATTTCCTCGACCTTTAAGGTAAATTTTTTAGCATCAATTTCGTTCACACTCGTTCACTGACCTGGCTCGAAGGACCAATGTTATCAGGGTTCTTTATGACCCGGATATTCTCCGTGGATTGAAAGAACGTTTCTATACCTTGTGCATTTTACTAAGAACTAAGTATGATAATATGACTTAACCTATCTTAGACTTATGTGTAAGAGAGAGAGGGCGTACACATCTGCCGTAAAAGAAATTTTCTCTCTTTTACACCAGAGACATGACTGAATATTCTTCCACAGGGTAGCACTTACATTTGCAAACTACACAGGCGTCATATCGCTACCAATGATTTGCGTACTGATGTTTATTAAGTTAACAAAGTTCATACGGTCATCTATTTCATAATTCTATTCCGACTTCTGATCTAATCATAAAACGTAATCAATTGCGCAGGCGACTTCTGTACATACCTGAAAATAAAAACAAAAATTATGAGAATTATTTCTTTGATTCGAAATTAGATTAGTATCAAATTTTTATTTCAAATGTGATTAAATTGTATTCCTAATTCGACAGACCTCCCTATTCATACTGAGTTTTGGAACTCCGAATGTACTTTAAGTCCAATTGCAAGCCATCAAAAAGGACTGTACCCGATAAACATACAAAAATAAATCATGGAATTGAGGGAGAGAAAATTTATTTTTTTATATTTTTCTCTTCTCTCTTTTTTACATTTCTCTCTTCTTAAGAGCGAATAAAACCTTAACTTAGACACCCAGATACATACCTCTAATGTAATAATTCAAGTTTTAACGAATAAATTATAAAATCCGATAAGAGAAATAATAACGGTGAAACTGCAGAAAATGCGGTAAATAGTCATTCTGAATAATTGAGGGTGCCAGGTAATTATTCGTCAGCAAGTTTTTCATTCAAAAAAGAGGAATCTGAATCGAATAAAGGTGTCTGGTTACATTGTTTTGATTTACATAGAGGGCAATCATATTATAGTAAAATGTAGATTACTGATGTTTTATATATTTTTCAATCGGAAAATATTGGGACCTATCGCATTTTTTTAAAGACCTTAGAAATTTGGATTTTTTAAGCAATATTTTTCTAACGGCCAACCTAAGGCGTGGATTTTTTAAAGAATATTTTTCTAAGGGCCAACCTAAGGCGTGGATTTTTTTAAAGAATATTTTTCAAGGGCCAACTGAGGCGTGGATTTTTTAAAGAATATTTTTCTAAGGGCCAACCTAAGGCGTGGATTTTTTAAAGAATATTTTTCTAAGGGCCAACCTAAGGCGTGGATTTTTTAAAAAATATTTTTCTAAGGGCCAACCAAGGAGTGGATTTTTTAAAGAATATTTTTCTAAGGGCCAACCAAGGCGTGGATTTTATAAAGAATATTTTTCTAAGGGCCAACCAAGGCGTGGATTTTATAAAGAATATTTTTCTAAGGGCCAACCAAGGCGTGGATTTTATAAAGAATATTTTTCTAAGGGCCAACCACGGCGTGGATTTTTTAAAGAATATTTTTTGTTGTAGTTTGTATAACCATTCCAATATGGGCTAATACACATTAAAATACAATATGCATGACGAAATTAAATGTCGAACTAACTGTGATAAGATTGAGACTTAAATAAGATGAAATTTAGTCGATCATCGTCGGGCTTTGAGTACACGCGATTTTCTCTGTATAATCAAAATAATTTTGAAAAATATTTTTGAAAAAAAAATGTGTTTAATATTTCTGGTAATATGTTTGATCGTATTTATCTGCCTTTACAAACTAAATGAAAAATATTTCCTATTGAGTCTCTGTAAACGTATACAGACCGTGGATGGTAGAAAATTGGAAGAAAAAATATTTATAAGGCCCGGTAAGGTGGCAATGTTTGGTAATAATTTTGATTTATTAAAATTAACACCAGGTGAGAAGGGAAAAAAATCGAAAATTACATTCTTCAGGTAAATTTTTATTTCAAATCCCCCCAAATTAGAAACCATGTTCCAATATGCTCGTCAAAGCCTTAGCTATGCCAAGGGTCAGAGTTATATTTATTATTTTTTTACGGCACCAATTTATAACATTACCAGAGCCGAAGATGCGGCCGAGCTATTTCAGAGCACAACGATATTGGACAAATCGGTGTTGTATAAATTCTTAATACCATTTTTGGGAGATGGATTATTGATTAGTTCGGGTAAGTCTGAGGGGTATTCTCTTTACAGTGGAAATTTGATGTTATCAACATTCGTTACAGATCGCAAATGGTTTAATCGCCGTAAGGTTCTGACACCGGCATTCCATTTTAATGTTCTGCAGACCTTCAATGATATTTTCAAGTAAGTGGGAGCTACGAAATTCCAGGGTATTTTGGAAGGAATATTGTTCCAATGGCTTCGACAGGCGTGGATTTTTTAAAGAATATTTTTCAAGGCCTTAGACAAGACGTGGATTTCTTAAAGAATATTTTTTTCAAGGCCTTAGACAAGGCTTGGATTTGTTTAAAGAGTATTTTTCAAGGCCTTAGACAAGGCTTGGATTTTTTTAAAGAGTATTTTTTCAAGGCCTTAGACAAGGCGTGGATTTCTTAAAGAATATTTTTCAAGGCCTTAGACAAGGCGTGGATTTGTTAAAGAATATTTTTCAAGGCCTTCGACAAGGCGTGGATTTGTTAAAGAATATTTTTCAAGGCCTTCGACAAGGCGTGGATTTGTTAAAGAATATTTTTCAAGGCCTTCGACAAGGCGTGGATTTGTTAAAGAATATTTTTTAAGGCCTTCGACAAGGCGTGGATTTGTTAAAGAATATTTTTCAAGGCCTTCGACAAGGCGTGGATTTGTTAAAGAATATTTTTCAAGGCCTTCGACAAGGCGTGGATTTGTTAAAGAATATTTTTCAAGGCCTTCGACAAGGCGTGGATTTGTTAAAGAATATTTTTCAAGGCCTTCGACAAGGCGTGGATTTGTTAAAAAGTAGATGTTTTAAAGAGTATTTTTCAAGGCCTTAGACAAGGCGTGGATTTGTTAAAAAGTAGATGTTTTAAAGAGTATTTTTCAAGGCCTTAGACAAGGCGTGGATTTCTTAAGAATATTGTTGAAGTTTTTTCTAATTTTTTAAATAATCTATTACCCCCCAAACCGCTCAATAAATAACCCAGCTTCTGCACATGTTTCTATTATTATTTTCTTTAAGAAAACAAAAAATAAAAATAAATTGGACCGTGAATGGGAACAATAAAAATGCGATAAGGAAACAATAGCAAGCCGCCGACTAAAAAAACTTTGCAAGGTTGCAATGTTTGCAAATAATTTGGATCTATTGAATTTATTATTCACCAGGTAATTAAAAATAAATTCTTCGATGTTTGGATTTCGAATTTAAAGAAACAAAAAAAACACAACAACATGATGGTTATATCATTTTTTGTTACAGTGTGTGATTTTATTCCTTTGCCATTTCCAAGGGTAGGCATTATGTTTTGTATTTCCTAAATGCCCCTATTTATAACATCAACAATGCCGAAGATCTATTGAATTTGACACCAGGTAAGGTCCACAAAGAAGTTCTTCGATGTTATGGGTTTCGAATTTAAATTCCGCTTCTTTTTTCGTCTTCTTCTACGATCATTATAGAGACAATTTTTGTATACTGTCGTAGACACCACGCCATTTCCAAGGGTAGGCATTATGTTTTGTATTTCCTAAATGCCCCTATTTATAACATCAACAATGCCGAAGATGCTGCGGAATTATTTCAGAGCACCACAATTTTAGAAAAATCGGTAATTTATAAAAAATCCACGCCTCAGTTGGCCCTTGAAAAATATTCTTTAATAAATCCACGCCTCAGTTGGCCCTTGAAAAATATTCTTTAATAAATCCACGCCTCAGTTGGCCCTTGAAAAATATTCTTTAATAAATCCACGCCTCAGTTGGCCCTTGAAAAATATTCTTTAATAAATCCACGCCTCAGTTGGCCCTTGAAAAATATTCTTTAATAAATCCACGCCTCAGTTGGCCCTTGAAAAATATTCTTTAATAAATCCACGCCTCAGTTGGCCCTTGAAAAATATTCTTTAATAAATCCACGCCTCAGTTGGCCCTTGAAAAATATTCTTTAATAAATCCACGCCTCAGTTGGCCCTTGAAAAAAATATTCTTTAATAAATCCACGCCTCAGTTGGCCCTTGAAAAATATTCTTTAATAAATCCACGCCTCAGTTGGCCCTTGAAAAATATTCTTTAATAAATCCACGCCTCAGTTGGCCCTTGAAAAATATTCTTTAATAAATCCACGCCTCAGTTGGCCCTTGAAAAATATTCTTTAATAAATCCACGCCTCAGTTGGCCCTTGAAAAATATTCTTTAATAAATCCACGCCTCAGTTGGCCCTTGAAAAATATTCTTTAATAAATCCACGCCTCAGTTGGCCCTTGAAAAATATTCTTTAATTCCACGCCTCAGTTGGCCCTTGAAAAATATTCTTTTATAAATCCACGCCTCAGTTGGCCCTTGAAAAATATTCTTTAAAAAATCCACGCCTCAGTTGGCCCTTGAAAAATATTCTTTAAAAAATCCACGCCTCAGTTGGCCCTTGAAAAATATTCTTTAAAAAATCCACGCCTCAGTTGGCCCTTGAAAAATATTCTTTAATAAATCCACGCCTCAGTTGGCCCTTGAAAAATATTCTTTAAAAAATCCACGCCTCAGTTGGCCCTTGAAAAATATTCTTTAATAAATCCACGCCTCAGTTGGCCCTTGAAAAATATTCTTTAAAAAATCCACGCCTCAGTTGGCCCTTGAAAAAAATACTTTAATAAATCCACGCCTCAGTTGGCCCTTGAAAAATATTCTTTAAAAAATCCACGCCTCAGTTGGCCCTTGAAAAATATTCTTTAATAAATCCACGCCTCAGTTGGCCCTTGAAAAATATTCTTTAATAAATCCACGCCTCAGTTGGCCCTTGAAAAATATTCTTTAAAAAATCCACGCCTCAGTTGGCCCTTGAAAAATATTCTTTAATAAATCCACGCCTCAGTTGGCCCTTGAAAAATATTCTTTAAAAAATCCACGCCTCAGTTGGCCCTTGAAAAATATTCTTTAAAAAATCCACGCCTCAGTTGGCCCTTGAAAAATATTCTTTAATAAATCCACGCCTCAGTTGGCCCTTGAAAAATATTCTTTAAAAAATCCACGCCTCAGTTGGCCCTTGAAAAATATTCTTTAAAAAATCCACGCCTCAGTTGGCCCTTGAAAAATATTCTTTAATAAATCCACGCCTCAGTTGGCCCTTGAAAAATATTCTTTAAAAAATCCACGCCTCAGTTGGCCCTTGAAAAATATTCTTTAAAAAATCCACGCCTCAGTTGGCCCTTGAAAAATATTCTTTAAAAAATCCACGCCTCAGTTGGCCCTTGAAAAATATTCTTTAAAAAATCCACGCCTTAGTTGGCCCTTGAAAAATATTCTTTAAAAAATCCACGCCTTAGTTGGCCCTTGAAAAATATTCTTTAAAAAATCCACGCCTCAGTTGGCCCTTGAAAAATATTCTTTAATAAATCCACGCCTCAGTTGGCCCTTGAAAAATATTCTTTAAAAAATCCACGCCTCAGTTGGCCCTTGAAAAATATTCTTTAAAAAATCCACGCCTCAGTTGGCCCTTGAAAAATATTCTTTAAAAAATCCACGCCTTGTTGACCACTTGAAAAATATTCTTTAAAAAATCCACGCCTTGTTGACCACTTGAAAAATATTCTTTAAAAAATCCACGCCTCAGTTGGCCCTTGAAAAATATTCTTTAATAAATCCACGCCTCAGTTGGCCTTGAAAAATATTCTTTAATAAATCCACGCCTCAGTTGGCCCTTGAAAAATATTCTTTAATAAATCCACGCCTCAGTTGGCCCTTGAAAAATATTCTTTAAAAAATGATTGGCTCTTTTAAAAGATCCCCGACTTGTTTCCACTTTTTCAGAGAAGAAAGCCTGAAACTTTTGAAGAAGTTGGACCATCTTCAAAAGGACGAAATCGAGGTAAATGATATTGTAACGGAATTTACTTTGAATAATGTGATCGGTAAGTTCCAAATCGAAAAAAAATGCGAAGAGAAAAAAATAAGCAATTGATTTTCCCTCCCCTAGAAACGGCTTTGGGTGTCAAATTGGATAATATCGATGGTAGTTCGGAATATCGTCACACAATACACGATATTGAAGAGGTCATTTTGGAGCGTATCTATAATCCTTTGATGTATTATGATTTCATTTTCCGTCTATTCGGAAGATATGACAAACACAAGAAGGATTTGAAAATTGCCAGTGATTTTAGTAGTAAAATTATACAAAAGAAAAGGGAGGAGTATCGTAAGAAGAAGATGGAAATGGCGCCCAAGCAGGGGCAGGAAGGGTGAGTTACAGGGTTTGGAAAAAATAAAAATTTCAATTTCAATTTCAATTTTTTTTCTTTCAGAGATGACTTCGGTAAAAAGAAACGTTATGCCATGTTGGATACGCTACTCGATGAGGAGGCCAAGGGTAATATTGACCATGAGGGCATTTGTGATGAGGTCAACACCTTTATGTTTGAAGGTTATGATACTACTTCGACATGTTTGATATTTTCCATACTCAATTTAGCCTTGCATCCGGAGGTGCAAAAGAAGTGTAGAGAGGAAATTGCCAATATAGGTAGGAGAGAAAACTCGAATTTCAAAAAATCCAGTAATTCATTATCCCTCTCTTTCTTACAGCCGACTTCTCTTCCCTGACCGTTTTTGATTTCAATAAATTGGAATATTTGGAATGTGTTCTGAAGGAAACATTGCGCCTTTATCCCTCCGTGCCATTTATTGCCCGCTCCTGTACATCGGAAACAATAATAAATGGTTTAATTTTACCGAAAAATACTCAAATTAATGTTCATGTCTATGATTTGATGCGTGATCCTCGACATTATCCTAATCCTACGAAATTTGAACCGGAGAGATTTTTACCAGAAAATTCAATGGATCGCCATCCATTTGCCTTTGTACCATTTAGTGCGGGTTCCAGGAATTGTATTGGTAAAATAATTATTTTTCGAGGAGATTTTCTTCAATAGTAATTTTTGTTTTTCTTTTCCGCAGGACAAAAATTTGCCATTTTGGAAATGAAGGCAGTTCTGGTGGCCCTTCTGAGTAATTTTGAAATTTTACCCATAACCAAATTGGAAGATTTAATATTTGAATACGGTGTGATATTGCGGACAAAGGAAAAGATTTTTGTGAAATTGAGAAAACTACATAAATAAAGAAATAGATTTCTTTGACAATAATCGAACAGATAATAAATAGAATCTTTCTATACTTGTTGAAGGCCTTGGAAAAATATGTATTTGTAAATAATCAAAATTAGTAGTAGATATTTTGCTTTTTAGCATGTTCCAGCGATTGTTCTATTGTAGATAACCTTCAAATATTAGTTCTAATGGTAGTAGCTTCGGGTCTGAAGCTTGACAGAGGTTATAATCTGTGGGTGAGTAGTCTCAAACTGTTTGAAGTTATACTGGTAATAACTTCGACCGAAGGTTTTGGTAACACGGGTGTCAGCCCCTAGGCCTACGGTTCTAGACTGGCAGTTGGGGTTGATCCTTGGGGGCATGGTGCTGGACGTGGATTGGCACCTGCATTAGGTGTTGTAGCAGCAAAATACAAAACATTATGGGTTATGGATTTTCTGTTTCTGGTTCCTCTATATTCAAATTCAAAAATTTTGCAACTTGAATGGGATGTGTTCATAGGAAATTCAGCGCTAGGTGAGGCTGCTCTTTTTCAGAAACGTATCGATGCAGTAAGAAATAGTGTGAACTAACGCATACTCTACACTTCAGTCCTGAATTGCATATGGCAACTGTATGTGCTTTTATAGGCAATTAATGCAAGCAGGTACATCTTTAATGAACTCAAATCTTTGCAGAACTGGTACGGCAGTACAATTATTTATATTATGCTGTAAAGATCTACAGAACACGCATTTTTCAGAAGATGGATGATGATATCTTTCATTTAAAGTAGCCTCGAAATCAGATCATAATGTTAGCTTCTCGAAATCAAGATGGTGTTAGTGATTAGATCGCCCTTTGAAATGAATTAATAAGGCATTTGTAATCATAAATAGAAGACATCAGGACTTTGCCGTAACGCATAAGTCTTCTAGTTCACCTAGATCATTATTATCGGGATCTAGAATGTCAAGTTCGGATTGCAACCTTAAGCGATATTCTAGTACAATTGCTTTACTTAGCTGGGCAATTTAAGAGTTGATACGTGTTCTGTGGTCCTAGTCTCCTACAGGACATGCGTTAGGTATCGAGCTGCCAATTCGTGCCTATTTGGAATTGAGGCGGTTGTGACATACTGCTCTTAGTTGAGCTAAGACTACTCGTGTTTGTCGGTTCAGCTGTTTCTCCTATGCTGCGGTATTCCCACGATATAGCTTTACTTCCTGTGTTTTTTCATTCAGACCTACTTGATAAGCTTTTTAATCTAAGTGTTGACACCTCTCTCTCTCTCTCTAGATCAGAAAGATCTCTCCTGACGTGCCTGGTCGGGGGAGTTCTGTCTATAAGGCTATGACAGGGGTATTCCCGACGACAACACCCATGCAAGTACTGCATTGATAACATATAGTTGTGTCGATGGACGGGTAAAATCTTCGTCTCCTCATGACTCCCAGTGGAAACATTCTGTTGAATCACTTTCATTCCACTGACCGTCCTCGATTTCTTTTTTTCAGAATTCCTCATACGACTGTCGTCTAGACTTATAGTTTACGATACAACGTTTCAAACTTGGCTGTAGGTTTGGTTGTTCCCTCGTCGTCCTCGAACAGCTTGATGTGATTGACGGTATCAAATGTCATGACGTTTCAAACCTGGCTGTAGGTTTGGTTGTTCGCTCGTCGTATTCGAACAGCTTGGTGTGATTGACGGTATCAAATGCCTTTGATTTATGACTTTGATTAGGTACTCTACTCCTGGATCGTCAAGCTGCTTTAACATAACCAAACAGATTATATTCGGATCAAGCGAATTGGATGATTTTCCGCTTCTGATGGTACTTGAAGCATACTTCAACGTAAATTGTGGTGGTCACTCCTCCACTTGAAGACATCGTATACGGCACAATACTCATCTTTTCGTCCTCTCGGGTTGCTATACAAACTGCCGATTAAAACAATAACGGATATTTAAATTCAACGCCTTTCGACAAGACAGACGTCCTATCATCCTTGCCTCTTGGGGTTCGAGAGCGACTTAACAGCTGCCTACAATTTACTCACTCCGGTACTGATGCTACAACATTTCAGATGGGCTAGACACTTGTTCCGCTTAGGCTTGCCGACTAACCTGTTCACTTCCATTGTCTGTTCTCTGATTCTTGGATTTGTACGACGAAGCGCACACGCTCATTTGCTAATCCCGCTGCCTCTGCTGGGAAGTTGGGTCTCAATCCTGGTGTACTATCCGCTGGTATATACCGAGCGGCTGCACAACTGGTGGTCTTTTGATGGATACATAATAGGGAGGCGATCTGACCCCAATAAAAAGACGGGTTTCCAAGCCAAGTCATTCGTCATACTTGGAGTCTCCCCTTATCATGGAATGTCGTAATGACATAAATCATGATGAATATTGAACTACACAACCACTCATTTTCTCTGCTGTCTCTTTCGGACCCATAAATATTGTTCTCTTTGGCTGATACATTACATTCTATGGGAACAATTCCAGATAATTCCAACCCGAAAAATTTCCACTTTTAAAGACAATTTTCAGCCTAGCTGACACGATTTTCTCGACCTTGAAAAAAATTCTTCAGCATTGATTTTCTTTAATATTTCTCGCTGATTCGGGTCGATGGACCAATGTCAGTAGGCTCGATGGACCTTAAAAAAATATTCTTACAAAATCCACGTAAATTTCCAATTTCAAGCAAATTCGCTAACTTATACTGCTCGAAGGACCAAAGCCAACAGGCTCAAAAGTCCTTGAAACTATATTCTTACAAAATACACGTAAATTATTCACTTTTGAAGACAATTTTTGGAAAGAATTTCCTCGATTTAAGGAAACTTCTTCAACAGTTATGTGGAGATTTATTTCGCCAACTATCCGTCACTTATTCTGTTCGAAGGACAAATACCAACTAGATCAAAGGTCTTCGAAAAAAAATATTCTTACAAAATCTACGACTGTAATGTACCTTGACAGAATTTCCACGACTTTAAGGCAATATCGTTCATCGAATGACTAATGCCAATATGCACAAAGGTACTTGAAAAAATATTTTTATAAATTTCACGCAAAGTTTCCACTTTTGAAGACTATTAGACATAATTTCCATATCAATAGGATCAAAGGCCCTTGAAAAAAATATTTTTACAAAATCCGCCCGTGAGATAATAATAAATAACAAATTTTAACATAATTGACAGAATTTCCTTGACTTTAAGGCAACTTTTCTCCAATATCGCTCACTGATCTGGCTCGAAGGACCAATGCTACAGGTTCAAAGGCTCATAAAAATATATTCTTACAAATCCACGTAAATTTTCCACTTTTTATGACAATTTTCAGACTATTTAACGGAATTTCCTTGAATTTATGGCAACTTCTTCAGCAGTTATGTGGAGATTTATGTTCTTCACTATCGATAAGTAATCTCGCTCGGAGGACCAATGCCAACGGGCTCAAAAGCCATTGGAAAAATATTCTTACAAAATGCACACCTTAATAACAATTGTTGAACTAATTGACAGAATTTCCTCGACTTTAAAGGCAAAGTTTCTCCAATATCGGTCTCTGATCCGACATGAAGGACCAATACCAACAGGCTCAAAGGCCCCTGAAAAATTGAAGACTATTTTAAACCTAATTGACAGAATTTCCTCGACTTTAAGGCAACTTCTTCAGCATTTATGTGGAGATTTATTTTCTTCACTGTCGGTAACTGAAAGGCCCCGCATAGCTAGTCTTATAACAAAATATTCTTTAAAAAACCACCGCCTGCAATAGTCTTGGGAAAGATATTACTTAAAATTCCACGCCTAAATTTGCTGTTAGCAAAATATCCTTAAACAGAATCGATGACTCCAAAATCCAAGTTTATGGCTTATCTTGAGTATTGTGGGAATATTGTCCGATCATCTTTCAAACATTTTCTTTTACAAAAGATTATAACTCATTTGAAAATATGTAACAATGACCACAAATGGCATCACTACTCTGTCTTTCTTTCTTTGTCCCATGCTCCATATATAGAAATTAAATTCAATGTGTGAATTAAATAAAAACAAAAAACAATTCATCAGACATAGGATGGGAGAAAAAAGTATGTCTCTGGTTGTCAGTTGTGCTCCAGAATGCTGATGCGACGCATGGAGAATAGTGATTTGTTTGATTTGATCGCAATGACAATTCCTAGTTGTCGAAGATGTTAAACTTAAAGTTTTTTTCCTTTGTGTCCCGCAAAGAAGTTGGTACTAATGTTAGAAAAACAAACATGTAAGAAGTTCTACATTGATTACAAATTCCCAGAGCCTGTACTAATTCGCATTAAGGAAGTAAGCCGAAGATGTTAAGAATTTATAATAGGATTCTATTTAAGGTTCTGGTAGCAAAGAATGAAAAAAAAAAACAATTTCCCCTTTTCAGATATTAAAAGAATTAACTCTGGGAAATATTTTTTATCGAATGATGAGGTCAAAATTGTATCAGATTCTGGACGTCACTATAAATCAGAATATAACCTTTGAAGGAAAACCACAGGAATCGTTGCACCTATTCAACGGCCCGCCGAAGCTTACAGCCATCTATGTCCAAATTCTCTGTGTAAAACTTGAGAATGTCGAAACTACTTCCCTCCTTTCAATTGTAGGAGGAAATTCTCCAAGGCCTTTTTGATCTTATGATAGATTTTGGCATCGAATCATATTTATTGAGGATTTGTGGAGATAAAACATGGGTTCCACCGGTTATTCCTTACAAATGTTTATTAAAAAATGCTGCATGAGGTCCTGTTTATTTAAAAAAAATCATTGATTCGGTTGGTTTTTGTCGAAAATGTTTTAAACTATTTGTTGTTGTAACAGTCCTATTGCTTTTACACAATGGGCTGCGGTGAACGAGTAAGACTCGGGTCGTTGCGAATCGTAGACCCCTCTGTCGTGGAAACTTCGGCGGTATTTTGTCAAGTTTTATTTGATAACCTGTCTATTGGCCTACCTCACAGTGGGTAAGCCACAGGTAGA